TGAAAATACCGATTGCCTGAAAATCCGATAACAATTTCCGAAACACCCAAATCCGATCCGATCCGTCCGATTCCACTCCTAATTATGACTATAAAATATATAAATAAATAAATAAACCTTTTCGGAAAAATATTGAAAAATTGCTTTAAATTAGGGTAAATTACAATCACATCCTAAGGTAAAGCTAAATTATGAAATTTTGAAAAATTGCTTTTAATAATTGTGATCCTTCCCAATTTCTAGGTAATCTTGTTAATTAAAGCATGCCAAAAGATAGGAGTTGGGTTTTATTAGGTGATCGTCGGTTAGCAGCATATCAAAATGGTTGTGTGGAATTTATGGATTTTGCCTTCGCTAGATGTGACGTTGATAATAAAATAAGATGTCCATGTAGAGACTGTAAGTGTCGTAAATGGGGGGATCGTGAATTCGTTCATAAACATTTACTTTGGAGGGGTTGGGATAAGATGTATGGGCAACGCCGATGGACTCTGCATGGAGAGTCCGAAGAACAATACATTGGCGATGAAATGAACAATACTAATCATACAGAAATACCCGAAGTTGCAATTTCAAATGAACCTGTTGATGTACGTGATAACATGGAAGACTTACTGCATGCGTGTCTTCATCACGATCATCATCACGATCAAGAAGATCTGCACGAAGAACCCAACCCCGAAACTGATGATTTTCGTACCCTCATTGAAGAGTGGTGCATCCCCGTTTATGATGGATGCCGGGTATATACTAAACTTTCTTTTGTCATGGAGTTCTACAAAATTAAGTCTCGTGGCAAGATGAGTGATAATACATTTACTGAAACCCTTCAGTTAATGAGAAAACTTGATTTTTTAAATATACCCGACTCTTTTTATGAAGTTAAGAAGCTCATCGGTAAATTGGGGTGTGGTTACGTCAAGATTGATGCGTGTGAGAATGACTGCATGCTGTTTTGGAAGGATGACTTGAACTTAAATGCATGCAAAGTGTGTAATGCTTCAAGATGGAAGAATCCAGTAGAAAACCAACCGAGTTCTTCAACCTCTCAGCGCAAAAGGGTACCGAAAAAAGTTCTGCGACACTTTCCATTGATTCCGAGGCTCAAGCGGCTATTTATATGTCAAAAATCAGCAATTAACATGAGATGGCACGCTGAGTCTCGATGTAACGATGGCGTTCTCAGGCACCCTGCTGATTCTGATGCTTGGAAAGAGTTTGACAAGAAGCACGAGTCATTCTCTTTGGACCCTCGAAATGTAAGGCTTGGCTTGGCTACTGACGGTTTTAATCCCTTTGGATCATTGAGCAGCAAACATAGCACATGGCCTGTAATTCTAATGGTTTACAACTTACCACCAAATATGTGCATGCAACGCTCTAATATGATGATGTCATTGCTTATTTCTGGTCCTAAAGGCCCGAAAAATGGCATTGATGTTTATCTACAGCCGTTGATCGACGAGCTTAATGAGTTGTGGGGTTCTGGGATAACAACTTTTGATGCGTACACCAAGCAATATTTTAATATGCGAGCCGCACTTTTAAGTGCCCCGAGGGTTCAATTGCTGAATGCTACATCACTGAGGAGTGCTTAAATTTTTGCTCATTGTACACAGAAAGTTCATCTATGAACATTTCTGTCGATGATAGACAAGGGAATGAAGTGCGATCTAAGTACAGAACTCTTACTTATGATGAAATGGAAAAGGCACACAACTATTGTCTTTTTAACTCTGATGAAATTCAACCGTACATTGAGTAAGTTACTTATAAAAATCTTAAAACTACTACTATTTTCATTTGATTTTCATCCAATAAAAAACACAATTATTTTAGGGAGCACTTCGAGACCATTAAGAACAAAATCTCGACAAGTGACCCTGCTTACCAATGGCGCATTCAGCAATTACAAGACAAAGAATTTCGTCATTGGTTCCAATCCTACGTAAGTGTTTGGTTTAACTTTAGCTTAGTTTGTAAATGGTTTTAAAACGTAAAAATGAATAATTGGTGACTACATAGGTGCAAGGAAAGAGTGAACTGAGAGACGATATCAAAGCTTTGGCTTGTTCTCCTCAATTTAGAGTGAAGACTTTCAAGAGATTTGAAGTGCAAGGATTTATGTTCCGCACAAAGTCATCTGAAGAGTCTCTTTCAACTCAAAACAGTGGTGTTTTTGTCAAAGCAAAGACAACTACTTTCGCGAACTCCAAAGATAAATCTCCGAAAGAAGAAGACGTAGGGTACTATGGCGTAATAAAAGATATTATTGAACTCTCATTCGCCGTAGGTACAAAGAGGGTAGTTTTATTCGAATGTGATTGGGCTAATACTCGCATGAACAAGACGGACGGTTTGGGCTTTACACTTGTGAACTTAACAAAGCCAGATATAAAAGCAAGTCCCTTTGTTCTTCCATGTCAAGTATTGCAAGCTTTTTACGTTGATGTTCCACGTGATAGGCCATGGGTGGTTCCGATTGTTATTAAACCAAGAGACAACTTTGCTTTGACTCCTGATGATCTCAATGTAGTTGAAGATGAATGTTATGAGATACTTCCTATAAATAATGACATAAATGCTATAGATGATATGGAAGAGTGAATAATTATTTTTGTTGTTCTAATATTTTTTTGAAGTCTTGTTAATTAGCTTGTTTGGATTGTAATGTACTTGTTTTAATGTTATCATTTTATTTGCCATAATTTATTATTGTTATTTGTATATATATTTCTGTATTGTATCTTATTTGCTTTCTCAGGTGAGCAATGTCGACGGAAGACATTTCTGTTGAGCCTATAGGTGATGAGTCTACAAGTACCGACATAGTTGATTTGGAGTTTGACGGTATGGGTATTCCCGTTGCACCCGGGAGGTACAAGTTGGCGGTGGCAATTAGTAACGAGGTTACACATTGGGACAATTTTGATCCGTCTATTTCATGGCCTAAGCACAAGAAAGAGGGTCGTGTCGAAGGATTGTGGAGAGCATTTAAGGTATTTGAAAGTTCAAATTATTTTATTTATTTCAGTTATTATAATTATTTTGTTATCAATTAATTATGAATTTTTTTGTATGCCTTTTAGGTAACGTGGAAACTTCCTGAAAATGAGGCTACGAAGAAATGGTTCAACGAGACGGCCAATTGTCGTTGGAAAGATGCAAAAACGTATTACGGGTGGTTAGATCACCGCAGATAAGCTGACTGCTTGAAAGAAGTGGTAGCCCTT